CTTTTTTTCTCAGACAAAAATAACTCTTGTTAGTATTGGAAGTGTGTTAGGGCAGTGATTTTCAAACAGTGTTCACATGGGATAATTATTAGAAGTGCTTATTATTGGTCCCATCCCAGATCTACTGAATGAAAAATTCTGGGTAGGAATTCACTCAGGGACATTCTGAGGCATGTTTAACTTTGAGAACCATGTGTTAAGGTATTTGGATTTGTAGTTACAAGCCTATTAAAAGTAGAGCATTCAAGATTCCTTTTCATTATTATGTTAAGATAACTGTCATAGTTTTCTAACTACAGCCAGTCCTTTAGCTGGGTGCTAAGTAATGAGTCATACATTCTGGAGATCTACTATGCACCATCACAAAATAACAAATAATACTTAGAATACTGGAGAATTTCCAGTAGGAAATTTTAAGTGTTCTAATGAAAATTGTAACTATATGAGGTGAAGGATATGTTATTCATCTTGATTTACTATTTAACAATGTATACAGCTATGTTCAACATATGCTTGCACAATTTGTCACATGTCATTTGATTGAGTCATAGTTAGCTACATCATACTTCTTCAGATAGACAGGATTTGATCTATTTGGAACAGTAACTTTTGTGACACTGTGATGTTACAGAAAAGAACATGAGCTTTGGAATTTCATATGGGAAGCCTTCTTGGATAATTTGAATTACCTATTTAATGCCTAGCAATTCAACTTAAAATTAAAGGAACAAGTTGTTCAAATATATAAAGATGAGTGTGCAATAATATTTACCATAACTTTTAGTGTTTTTGTTTCACAAAAGATTTCACATAGTCCCAGGCTGACCTTGACATATCTATGTAAAGGATAAAGGATCATTGTTTCTAATAATAAAGAAAATGGTAATCTAGAGCAATGTCCATTAATTTAATAAATTATACTAGGTAATTCTAATTAAAATGTAAATACCCATTAAATTTATCATTTAACTCTCATTGATATGGAATTTTATACTAACTATTATTAACTGGTTAAAACTACATTTATAGAAGTATATGTATTAAATGGCTACCTATGAATTATATATATATATATATATATATATATATATATATATAGAAACCTGGAAAGTTATGAATGAAAATGTTACATCTGGAAACTCTTGTGTATATAAATATCTGTGTGTATGTATATAACCAGACTGTATTGAGAGTTTCAGACTGAGTATTTTATATTAATAAAACTTGTTTTGTCTTCGCTTATCTCTGTTTTCTAATGGAACTCATTTCCTTATGTGTAGAAATAATGAAAGATTAAGAACAACATAATTAAGTTTTCCTAAGGAGGCTTCTTACACAATCTTATCCCTAGGGATTAGAATTATTCCTTTAAACAGTATATTTGCTTTGGAGAAATTGGAAGGAAGCAATCCCTCTTTTTGTAACAGTTCACTGTCAAGGTTAGTGGTCTAAAACCTGGCATTGGTTCATTTCTGAACATTTGTGTTATTGTATAATTACAAAAATATGTTTTCCATCTTCAAAGTTCCTGGAAACGTTGATATTGTTCTGTGGTGAGAGGCAAGAGACCCCAGTTCAGTCATTACCACTAACTTTTCTTTGTGAATTCGTAACTTTTAGGTTTCCCTTTTCTGGCACTGTTTTCCTCTTTTGAAAAGTAACTGATTCTTATCTAGATGGCCTTTAACAGCTCTGTAATTTAGGAATCTATAATACATCTAGAAGCCAAGCAATTTTTAGAAAATGATTATGAAGTGTGGACGCTTATAACAATAATAAACAGCCTTCTAAAGTACTGTTGAAAAGATTGTTTCTGAAGTTTATGGGATGTCTATTGATCTCCTTTAATTTTTCTATTAATGGGGTTTCAAACTCCTTTCAAGTGTCAATGCATTTGAACATTGGTGTACTTATGACACCTGGTGGTCAAGTCAAACATCACAGTTAAATCCTAATCCCCAGACACCCCTTCACTTCCACTCATTCCCTTCCTCTTACAGAGACTTTCTGTCTCTCATAAAATTACTCACCCAACAAACAGTAAACAGACCCTTCTAATAGTCAAGACGCTTTGCTAGACTTTTACTTGGGAGGAAAAGATGTAATCAGAGGATGAGCATTTGGCATGTAGGAGATTTCTTACTATTTCCCACAGCAGAACCACCTGGAAAGGAAAGTGGCCTCATCTTTTCAGAATATATTATGTGTCACACAGTAAAGAGAATAGTCAGAATTGTGGATACTATGAAGCCAGAAAAATTCCTTTTGTAATTTGTGCATGGCAAAAAGGGCTTCGCGGAGGAAGTGAGCCTTGCCTTTTGGAAGTCTGTTTGTTCAGACAAAACAGCCATTATATCTCATTTGATAGCATTAGTGTCAGAGATTTCTAGAGTGCACACACAGCATTTACTATAGAATCTGGCCAAAACAGGCATTTAACAATTGTTATTTGTTTTTATAATTAAACCAAAGATGATCATAAGCATTGATTGTCTTATTTTATTTGAATACTCCACCTGGTTTGTGCTTGCAAGTATTTTTTAAAATTTAGTCTGAATATTAAAAAAACAGTATCAATTATTTCAGTTAGCTCAAGAAAATTATAAAAAGATGATAGTGTTGTGTCTATTTACACTTTACTGGACCAATTGCCTTATTCAGCAGCATATTTAACTCAGGGGAAAAAATCAGAGTAGCTTTTGCCTGAATGACCTGGTTGTTTGACTTCTCTAAACTTTCAGCTAAGTAAATACAGTTTATCCAAGAGTTACTTGTACTCACTGAAGAGACATCAAATAAGCTTTGACTTCAGCTCAGTAAATACAGTGTATCCAAGAGTAATATGTACTCACTGCAGAGACATCAATTATATTTTGACATTGTATGGAATTTTTCTGAATTGATCACATGTTTACTATTTTTAATTGACTGTGTCTAGTGCAGCATGAATTCTTTTTGCTCTTAATAATAAAAACCCAGAGTCAGATATTGGGGTTAGTGCTCAAGATCAGAGAAGCAAAGTTGCCATCAATTAGAGAGTTCTTACTTCTACCCATGCTCAGAACAAAGGGGAGATCCTGCCCTCAGACTGCTTAGAGTGCACTGCTGCTCAGACTGCATCCTCAGACTGCTCAGACTACATCCTCAGACGGCTCAGACTTCAATGCTGCTCAGACTGAACTGAGCTCCTATCTCCTGCTGTCTTATATCCCTCTATCGAGCCCAGCCAGATCACTCCTGTCTCCTCCTCCCTTGGGCTGGGATTGACGGCATGGGATCCCAAGTGCTGGGATCAACTTGGTGTGAGCTCTGCTTGTTTTTTAGACAGATTCAATCTTGTGTAGCCCAGGGTGGCCTTGAACTAACAGAGATCTGTCTGCCTCTGTATTCCGAGTGCTGGGATTAAAGGTGTGTATCAGCACTGCCTGGACTTAATGGCTGACTAGTGTGGCTAGCTTTGAACACTGATCTTCAGGCATGCTTTATTTGTCAGATCATAATCAAAATATCACCACAGTCTCGGTTTGTCTACATGGTCCTAGATCTTATATTACTTTGCAGACTAATTCAGATGGCATAGCAACATATGCATTTTACTTTTCCACTTGAGTACTTGTTGCTATTAAGGCTGTCTGATTTTTCCTTTGACTTTAGAAAATGCGTAGCAAACTAGCTGGGTTTTCAAGTATTAAAAAGTACAACAAAGCATTAAAATGCTATTTATTCTTTTGTGTTTGAAATCAGATATATAAACCAAATTTCTTAAAAATCAATAATCTTCTTTCTAATAAAAATTTAAAAAGATATTCTAACTTTGAACGTCAAAAAACATCAAACACTTATTAAACATTCATTTCAAGCATAAAATAAGATGAACTGTAATGACTTTTGAACAAAAGCAGTAAAATTATAACATAAAACAAATCCAAGAACAAGGACCATGTCTTATTAGGAAATGAATGTTTAATCTGGATAAGGAAGATTTGAGAGAAGACATGATTGTTATCTTCAGATATTTCCAGAGCTTTTATGTCTAACAGAGAGTAGACTATTTTGTCTTTGACAGGAATAACTACGTTGAAATAACATGGAAACAGATTTTAAGTTACTAAATAAACGGAAGACATTTCCAGAATTTATGATCATTGAAAATACAACCATTTACATAAAAAATATTGAATTTCAGAGCTAAAGGGAAGCAGCCCATCATTTACTTCATTTATGAGAGGGTAACCTCTAGGGCTTCACACACTCTGCTAGTTGATTGAAGTGGTGAAAAGATAGTTTCATTGTATTTAAGTGTCTGAAGTTGCCATGGTATTGCTAATGAACACAGACGTTCTGTGTTAACAAGATGTTAGCAAACAAACCTTGCTTTCAGTCATATTTAGAAGAAGGGAACTATTTTTTCTTATGACATTGTCTTTCCTAAAGCCTGGTGACCTGCTAGCCCTTGCTTAGGACCGTAATGCATGTATCATTAACAAGAATTCATAGCTCACTTTAGCAACCATCTAATGTTTTATAAGGTAGCTCTTGAAAATGGGTTAAGATTTCATTATCTCGTGGTTGATGACAATAACTTGGCTAAATCTCAAACTCTGAGCAGAAATAGGTACACAAATGAAACACAGGACTTCACAAGGGTGATGGGATATTTGTCTGGGGTTGACGGGTCATGAGATCTTGGCTGCTGGTTACCTATGCAACTTCGATGATTTTCTATCAGAGTAAAAACCTGACTGAAGTTATTGTCCAAATAACAATCTTTTACATTCTTGAAAATATCTTCCTTGATAATATTTATGTCTTGGTAAATAGTTGCACTATTTTAATTTGGCGTAGATGAGAACTTTCAAATTAATGAAATCACATTTCAGCACCTCTAGTAGGAATACAACTGATATGCATATTCACATGTGCTGGCTGGCCTCTGACTCGATCTTTGTTCTATTTTCCACAGAAACCACCATGCAATGGCTTTTCCTAAGAAAGGAACATAAATGCACAAAGTGGGAAGTAACAGCACAAACAGTATGAGAATAAAGTGCACGGATCAACAAATGCTGTTTCAGCACTCTCTTTTGGCAACCACCTATATCTTTGGACAGGAGCCATAACTCTATAGTTCACCTTGATGAACATACTGAGATATTCAAGATGGGCAGCAACAGTACCAGCACTGCTGAGAATAATTGCAATGTTACACATCTCACATTTCAGTACTCTCTGTATGCAACCACCTATATCTTCATATTCATCCCTGGTCTCCTGGCTAACAGTGCAGCCCTGTGGGTTCTGTGTCGCTTCATCAGCAAGAAGAATAAGGCCATCATTTTCATGATCAACCTCTCAGTGGCAGATCTCGCTCATGTCCTGTCCTTACCTCTCCGGATTTACTACTATATCAACCGTAACTGGCCATTCCAGAAAGCCCTTTGCCTACTCTGCTTTTATCTGAAATATCTCAACATGTATGCCAGCATTTTTTTCTTGACATGCATTAGCCTTCAGAGGTGCCTTTTTCTCCTCAAGCCATTCAAAGCCAGAAACTGGAAGCGTAGGTATGATGTGGCCATCAGTGCTGCCATCTGGGTCATCGTGGGGACTGCCTGCTTGCCACTTCCCATCCTGAGAAGTGCTGGTTTAGCCAACAACAGTGAATCCTGCTTTGCTGATTTAGGGCTTCATGATATTAGTATGGCTTCCTCCATTGGCATGGTAACCGCCGCTGAACTTGGAGGGTTTGTATTGCCTGTTGTAATTATTACGTATTGCACATGGAAAACAAGAAAATCTTTACAGGAATTCCAAGATCCACCTCAGAATATTAAAGAGAGGAAAAAGGCTTTGAGGATGGTCCTAATGTGTGCAGTGGTATTCATAGTGTGCTTCACTCCTTACCATCTCAACTTCCCATTCTTTATGATGGTGAAGCAACATGTCTTCTCAAACTGTTCATTTATTAAGAGCACTCTGTGTTTCCACATCATTTCCCTATGTCTTGCAAATTTGAATTGTTGTCTCGATCCAGTTGTGTATTATTTTATGACTTCAGAATTTCGTGATCAAATTTCAGAACATGGCAGCTTGGTCATCCAGTCATGTGTGCGATGTAAGGACAGTACTTTGGAAATTCATCAGAGGAAGGAGAATCTTCAGACTATCTCTCTTGAATGTTTGGATGTTCCAACACAATGTGATGAAATAATTATCTAGAATAAAGTTTATACTCTGTCAGGTTAGCCATGCCGTTTCAAAGTGATAGTGAGTGTCATGAAGAAACACAGCCACTTCACTCAAAATAATCTGTCTACGGGAGTTCTCTATGCCAAGATCATCTGTGGATCTTCTGAGAAAAAACTTTCTTCACACAAAGTGATAATCAACTGAAAGAGTTCCACACCTGTTCCTCAGCAATGAGGCCAGTCTTCTCATCTTTACCTGAAAAATCCCCAAAATATGTTAATAACTAGTGAACATCTACAAGCTATCTAAACATTGAGACGTCTGCATGAGAATATGACCCTAATTTTATTTAGAAAACATACACTACTTGTGCCAATTGTATTGCAGAAGGATGACTTTTTATATTAGTATAAATTATGAAAATTAAAAACATTTTAACTTAAAATATCTATAAGATTTTCTTTTTCTCACCTTGAAGAAAAAAATCAATTCAGATGAGCCTCTCAAATTTACCATGGGAATCACAATGCAAACATCTTAAATAGAACTGTGCTCTGCATATTTAACAAACTTGAGGTTAAAGACTTAAAATGAAATCTCTTTGCCTAAATGTCTGTGAGTTTGTGATGTGATGTGATGCATATTTTTGTGTAATGTAACTACTTGGGAAATATTCTTATTTATCTGTTTACTAAAATCAACTGTGTCATTCTCTGGCTCGGTTGATTCTTTCATATGTAACTTCAGACGCAACTGCATTTGATACATTTAAATCAAAAGATTAAGGAATCACACAATACATGAAGTTTTCATTTTGCTAAGGTTTAGTTGAACCTAAATTTTTACAAGCAAAATACACCAATGAACTGAACTGAATCCTATCATTAATGCATAACAAGCACTGCCATTTTTAAAATCCTTGTTGTTGCATCATTACTAATATAAATCTTCCTAGTGGAAATTTTGAAACTAACCATTTTCAAATATTGGGCAACATAAAATTAAATTTTATAAAGCAATGGTTAGCTTTATAAAATTTCTATTTTTGTCTTGTGTATTTTTTGAATGCCCTTTAATTTTTATTATATTTTTGGCTTAGTATATGAGGGAATGGATTTCATTGTGATATTTTCATATGTATACATTACTGTACTTTCTTATCTACTCACCACAGCCTTTTATTGACTGCCCTTCAATTCTTGTTGGTGACCTTTCTTACTCCTGCATTCTCCTTTCTTCATTCTTGAAACAAATGTTCTGTTACCTCTTGTATTTGATTACCTCCCTGATCATACTTTGCATGTGTCCCTTTATATCTTTTCTCTCCATCTCTACTTTCATGTTTCATGTGTGTGCATATATATTATTATATATGAAAATTAATTGATATTTATCTGGTTTATTTTGCTTAACATACTGATTTTCAGTTTCATTCATTTCCCTCAAAATGTTGTAATTTAATTCTTCATAGTTCCCTAAATTTCCATCATTTATAATACTACATTTTGCTGATCCATTCATTCATCGATAGACACCTAGACTGGTTCTACATCTTTGCTATTGTGAACAGTTCAACAATAAACATACATGTGGAAACATCTTTATGATATGATTTATTACAACCCATCAGATATATTAGAACAGATTGTTGGATCTTGTTTTTAAATTGAATAAGCTAATCTCTTTTTATTGGTGAGTCAAGGCCATTTACACTTAACAGAGGTCTGCTACTTCATTTAATTTAATTGGATGTGTTTTGGGTTGCTTGGATTTTTATTATTTTTTTCCTTATTAGAACTAGAGGTTTTTTTGTGTTGGGCATGATTGATGCTTTCCTCACTCTCCTTGGTCATTTATTCCTCTCATAAAATGTATCATTTGTTATAATCTCATAAAAAGACTGTCTTTCTTTGCTGTGTATAAGTGTGTGTGTGTGTGTGTGTGTGTGTGTGTTATACATGTCTTTGTGTGTGTGCAGATAGAAGCCAGAGTTTTGACCTTGGATGTCTTTCTTGATCTCTCTCCATCTTACTTTTTGAGACAGGCTATCTAGTATTGTAACTGTGTTAATCACTTGGTTAGACTAGGTACCCAATAAGATGAATCTACCTGTCTATGCCTCACCAGCGTTGGAGGTACAGATGCTTGCTGTTGTGCCTGGATTTTATGTTGGTGCTGGGGTTCAAAACTTGGGGCCTTGTGTTTGTGCAGCTGGCGCATAATGAATCTCCCCATCTCGACCAATCTGTGGTATTATTTTAAGCATTTTCTGCAGTGCTGGCTTGGTGGCTATAAACTGATAGCTTGGCTGGATATAGAAATCTTTGTTGGCAGTTATTTACTTTGGGCCCTTAAAAATACCATTCCGTGGTTTCATAGCTTTAAGACTACTGGTGAGGGATCTGATATTATTTGGATGTGCTTACATTTTGGGTGGGTTGAATTTTCCCCTGACAGCCTTTAACATTATATCTTTACAGTTCACTTACAATATCCTTTGATGCTGTTCTTCTCCAGTGATGCTTCTTTAGGGTTCTAAAGGCCTATTGTGTTCAAATGTCTATAAAGATTATACATATTTGAGAAATTTTCTTCTGTAATTTTGTTGACTAAAATTTTATGCCTTTAAAGTTTTTACTGCAGCTTCGTCTATCCCATGAGTTCTTATGTTTGATATCTTGACATCCAGAATTTTTGGATGTTTGGTCATGCTCATATATTTTTCCATTACTAATATTTTAATGTAGTAATCCCTTGTCCTTGTCCTCTATCTGATAGTCTGTAATTTGCTTGGTTGCTTGTTTGTGGTACTTTATATTCAATTTTTAGAGTTGTTGAAATCTTCATTTCTAACAATTATATTTGTCTTCAAATTATGAATTTTCTTGATGAACTTCAATTCCATGTTTATGACTTTCCCATCCTACTTTTGAGTTTCATACATGTTGTTGACTTTCCTCTGCATGTTACCAGATTTCCTGTCTAGGTCCTGATTTAATTTCCCTGCCTTGTTCATATACTTGTCTGTATTCTATCAGGTTGTTGGTCCTTTTTGCTAATAACTTTTTGAGATCTAATTTCATATTTTACACGTCAGTAATTTTTATTTTGTTAGTTGAGGAGTTATAATCATTTGGATAAGGCATGTTGCATTGTTTTTTCATTGTTATTGTTTGTTTCTGTGTTGCAATTTGTACATAATTTTATTTATATGTTTTTGTTTTATTTAGAGAGCTTCTTAGTAGCCTGCTCTTGAAGCCTCAATCTGCAGTAGGACTCAATGAGGATTAAACAAACTGCTGTATCAGCACCAAGCCTAACTATACGTGTAGAAACGCATTTTCAAAATTAATTAAGCATACTAATATATCACAAATTGCCATATCAGTAAATAACAAAACTAATATAGACTATGTGTTCAAATTCTAATGTAGAGTAATTGTGAACCCTTTTCCTTCTACTAGGTTGCCTTGTCCAGCCTTGATATGAGGGTATATGCCTAGTCTTCCTGTATCTTGTTGTGCTGTGTTTGGTTGATATCCTTGGAACTCTTTCTTTAAAGGGAAAAGGAGGCTGGGTAGATCTGGGGAAGAGCAGAGGTGTGGGAGAGCACTGGGAGGAGAAGAGGAAAGGGAAACTGTGGTTAGGATAAATGTACAGGAGAATAAAAAAAGAAAAATCTGTTTTCAGGTTCACTCAGGGTCATTATTATAAACAACAGTTATTATATTGTGATTCATTGCTTCTCTAATGTCTATTGAACCTGTTTGTTTCTGAAATAAATGTACTTATGGATTGCAGTTCTTTTTTTACTATACTTATAGTGCTTGTACCTCTGGATTTTCAAACTATAATCTCTCACAATTTTCTCCTGTTAATAAGCCCATTCCTATCCCTGGATTAATTACTTCTAATTTTCTGTGGTTTTGAAAGCACAACTATGAAGTTATTTAGAGCAATTTTTTTCAAAAAGAAAAAAATACTGCTTATATTTATTGTGATTGAATAGTTTGTATATTGAAATGGGAAAATCTCCTATGGGAAAAAATTAGATGAGTTTCAGTATATGGACTTTATGTTATGTATTTTTGCAATTCAAGATTATTTTGTTTCCTTCCTGGCTCTACCAGCTGTGTTTAAATAGGTAAAGTTGCCAGACATATGAGGTCTGATTTCCAAAACCATTACTTGCTTCATCAAGAACTAGTACATTTAGAAGTACTTCATTTCTAGTAGTGAGGTTGTCTTCTCTGTGCCATAATGTACTTAAGAAAACACTACTAACCATGGACTCAGATTCTTCTTTGGAACACTTTGTAGAAATTCCCCTATGCATTTGAACTTTTATTTCAGAAAATTAATTCATTTTTGGAAACTGACCAGTTAACTACTATGGATAATGAACTTTATTCAGCAAGCTTGGAGAAGCGCATGCACACACACACACACAGAGAGAGAGAGAGAGAGAGAGAGAGAGAGAGAGAGAGAGAGAGAGAGAGGGAGGGAGGGAGGGAAGGAGGGAGGGAGCAAAGGAAAATGGTCAGGAGAGGGAGAGAGAAACAGAGACAGAGAAAAATATAAAACAGTCTAACTTTTGAACATTTCTTGAAGTTATTAGAACTCTCCAGAAACCTACTGTCACTCTTAGATCTTGAAGAAGGGCTATACACAGGGCTATACACCGATCCAGTATTTCTGGGGCTGTGCAACTATTCAATTCTGTCTTTAATTTCTTGTTCCAAAACACAGGTGAGAAAATAGTTTTAAAATTGATTAGAAATGTGGATGTAACTAATTGACAGCACTTTGAATTGAATCCTAGTGCCATTTCCACCCTTTCTTAAGTGTACAATCTATAGCATGGTATTTTATCAACCTGAAGCTCTATTCTCAGTTGTAATGTGGTAATAACATTTGATCTTTGAACTTCATGAAACTCCAGTAAGAAATATAGATCAGAAAGATTTTTATAATATAATGGCTCTTCAAACATAAGGGCGCAGCAAATTCAAAAAGTTAATGAGATGGTTTAGCTGATAATAGTGTTTGTTTCCAAACCTGACCATCTGAGTTGGATATCTGGAACCTACACCACAGCTGAAGGAAATAACCAATTCCTGAAAGTTGTTTTCTGACCTTCCACATCTTTTTAAAGGAGTGTGATCAATGGAAGGAGACTCCTAATCCAGTCATCTTTCCCAGTACTCTCTCCAGCGCCCTGCCCCACCTGATTTCTCCTGTTTCTGTCTCACCTTCCCCAGTACAGCTCAAAATCAATCCTATTTCCTATTCGAAGGGAAATTAGTCCTCTGTCAGATGTGGAGTTGGTGAAGATCCTTTCCCACTCTGTTGGCTGCCGTTTTGTCATATTGATGGTGTCTTTTGCCTTACAGAAGCTTTTCAGTTTCATAAAGTCCCATTTATTAATTTTTGATTGTAGTGTCTGTGTGATTGGGGTTCTCTTCAAGAAGTGATCTTCTGTGCCAATGCATTCAGGCTATTTTTCACTTTCTCTTCTATCAGGATCAGTGTGTGTGGTTTTATGTTGAAGTCTTTGATCCATTTGGACTTGACTTTTGTACATGCTGTTAGATATGGATTTATTTGCATTCTTCTACATGCCAATATCCAGAGCAGCACCATTTGTTGGAGATGCTTTCTTTTTTCCCATTACATATTTCTGGTTTCTTTATCAAAATTCAGGTGTGTGGATTTACAACTGGGTCTTTGGTTCAATTCCATTGATCACCTCTCTATTTATGCCATGCTGTTTTTATTACTATAGCTTGAAATCAGGGACAGTGGTACCCCAAGAAGTTCTTTTATTGTACAAGATTATTTTAGCTATCCAGTGGTTTTTGTTCTTCCATATGAAGTTGAGTATTGTTCTTTCTAGTATGTAAAGAATTGTATTTATAGAGGGAGCCATTATGGAGTTAACAAGAAACCTAGCACTAGGGAAATTCCC